AAAAAGTGGCGGGGATCAGCAGAGGAGTGACCCAATCACCTTAACTACTGGGTTAAGAACAGGTGGTAGGAAGCCAAGGATAGAAAAGGAGGATCAGGGAGGAGGCTATTGCTATGGTCTAGGCATGGAATTGGAACAGCCACCACCAGGTTGATAAGAGGTCTGATCCTGTATGCATTTTTCCTCCCATAGGGCACATGGGCTCACTGGAGAGAGACAGAGACCCACACACAGAGAAGGAAAGTGAAAAACCACCCTCCAGAGGGTATGGCCATGCCGAAATCCCTTCTCCAATCTCACTGGATTTGGGGGCACACTTGGAATGCACTGAGCATGATTTTCAAGCCACTGGGTCCAAGACTCAAACTGCAGAGTCAGCTATGTAGGATCCAGATGACTTAATCTCCACACCACTTACTGGTTCCCTGTATGCATTTTAAAGATAGTGACAATAGAATTGATGAACAGCTTGTATCAGAATATAAGAGGGAGAGAAGTGTCAATGGTAACACCGGGGGAGGGGGGGTGTTGACCTAAACAATTAGAAGGATAGAATTGTCATTAATTAAGTTGCTTGAGCAAAACTGGGGAGGAAAATCAGGAGTTTTGCCTTGGAGATAAGTGTGAGGTGGCTAAAAGAAGTGCCAAGAGGCAGCTGGTGTACAAGTCTGTGTTTCAGGCAATAGGTCCAGACTAGAGAAGCGATCTTGTGCCCTGCCAGTGCATGGATGTCCTTGACAATGAGAATGAGTAAGATCACCAAGGGGGGGTCAAAGAAGCTAGGGTAGGGACCAGCAGTTAGCATAATGGCTATGTCGCTGGACTCCCATGTAGTCGACCATGGTTCATATCCCAGACTCGGTGGCTTAAAACTCACACCGGGCGCGTGTGCATGCATGCCCAAGATCCCGAGAAGAGAATGGAGAAGGGATTGCAGCGTGGCCATTCCCCCTGGGGGGGGTGTGATTTCTCACTTTCTGTCTCTCTGTCTCTCTTTGTCTGGCTGGTGAGCGCACACGCCCTATAGCAAAAACCTCTCCAAAAAAAGAAAAATAAAAAAAGAAGAAGAAGCTAGAGTAGGGAAGGCGGTTCAAGTGCTGAGCCTCGGATCCTGTTACATTCGGAGTCTTGTAGTGAGAAGGGGCCAGCCGAGGAGTGAAACTACCTGTGCTATAGGAGAAAAGCCCTGGAGGTTAGTGCTCTGGAAGTCAGGGCAAGAAAGAATTTTAGGGAAGAGGGAGTGATCAACTCTACCAACTGTTAGTGATAAGTCAAAAAAGGTAACAGTGGAAACTGAATTGAATTGAAGCATACAAAAAGTGCTGGTAAACTTGAGAACAGTTTCGACAGAGAGGAAGAGGGCAGAAGTTTGACTGGATTGAACTTATCAACAGTTGATAGTTGCAGCTGTCAACAGCTCTTTCAAGCAGTTTTTCCTCTAACGAAGAGCAGCTAAATGGAGTAATAGGAAGAGCAAGAAGAAAAATATATGTGTGTGTGTGAATACATACATAAATACGTATACATACATATGCTTTTTTAAAGGAGAAATAGCAGCTACTCTATTATGTATATGCTGATGGGAATGATCTGGTAGAAAGGGGGAAAAGTGATGGTAGGAAAGAGGGAAGAATTACTTGAGCAATTCTGAGTAGGCTAGGACAATCTAGTGCAAAGGAGAGGAGTTGACCTTGGATAGGTGTGGGCTTAGTGACAGGAGGGAAGGGGGAATACACAGGTGCAGATGGAGGCAGGTGGAGGGGTGTTCTGGTGAATGCACATGTCAACGTTGTCTTCTGATGGTTCTGTTTTCTCTGCAAATAGAAAGCAAAATGATCAGCTGAGAATGAGGCAGAGAAAGGATATGGTAGAAATTTAAAGAGAAAAGAGGGGGTATTAAATTGTAAAATAAAGTCAAGATTGAATGATAGAGAGTACAAAAAGGTAAACAGACACCATGAAGAGTCCACTTGAGTTCCCCAGAAGAAAATGAGAGTGGACTTCAGAAGTCCACTTTATTCTGCCCAAGCATTCTACGGAGTGTCTTTCATGCTTTAGCTCATTGAGCCCTCACTACCGCTTTGAAAGGTGGATATTATCTCAAGTTAACATCAAGATGAGGAATAACCAAGATAAGACAAACAAGACTGAAAGATTCTCTTGGCCAAGGTCTCAGGGCCAAGATAGAACTCAAGCTCAAATCCGACTTCAAATTGCTTTCTCCAATATAATCTATAAAATACAAAATACCGCCTTTTAGAACTCATTTAATAAGAAATATAAGACCAATACATATCATGGCATAAGAATAAGCAACATAGCGACCAGCAGATGGCGTAATGGTAATATCATTGGACTCCCACATAGTTGACCATGGTTTGAGACCTGAACCTGGTCGCTGAAAAGTATTTCTAGCTTTCTGTCTGGCTGGTGAGCGCACACGCCCTATAGCAAAAACCTCTCCAAAAAAAGAAAAATAAAAAAAGAAGAAGAAGCTAGAGTAGGGAAGGCGGTTCAAGTGCTGAGCCTCGGATCCTGTTACATTCGGAGTCTTGTAGTGAGAAGGGGCCAGCCGAGGAGTGAAACTACCTGTGCTATAGGAGAAAAGCCCTGGAGGTTAGTGCTCTGGAAGTCAGGGCAAGAAAGAATTTTAGGGAAGAGGGAGTGATCAACTCTACCAACTGTTAGTGATAAGTCAAAAAAGGTAACAGTGGAAACTGAATTGAATTGAAGCATACAAAAAGTGCTGGTAAACTTGAGAACAGTTTCGACAGAGAGGAAGAGGGCAGAAGTTTGACTGGATTGAACTTATCAACAGTTGATAGTTGCAGCTGTCAACAGCTCTTTCAAGCAGTTTTTCCTCTAAAGAAGAGCAGCTAAATGGAGTAATAGGAAGAGCAAGAAGAAAAATATATGTGTGTGTGTGAATACATACATAAATACGTATACATACATATGCTTTTTTAAAGGAGAAATAGCAGCTACTCTATTATGTATATGCTGATGGGAATGATCTGGTAGAAAGGGGGAAAAGTGATGGTAGGAAAGAGGGAAGAATTACTTGAGCAATTCTGAGTAGGCTAGGACAATCTAGTGCAAAGGAGAGGAGTTGACCTTGGATAGGTGTGGGCTTAGTGACAGGAGGGAAGGGGGAATACACAGGTGCAGATGGAGGCAGGTGGAGGGGTGTTCTGGTGAATGCACATGTCAACGTTGTCTTCTGATGGTTCTGTTTTCTCTGCAAATAGAAAGCAAAATGATCAGCTGAGAATGAGGCAGAGAAAGGATATGGTAGAAATTTAAAGAGAAAAGAGGGGGTATTAAATTGTAAAATAAAGTCAAGATTGAATGATAGAGAGTACAAAAAGGTAAACAGACACCATGAAGAGTCCACTTGAGTTCCCCAGAAGAAAATGAGAGTGGACTTCAGAAGTCCACTTTATTCTGCCCAAGCATTCTACGGAGGGTCTTTCATGCTTTAGCTCATTGAGCCCTCACTACCGCTTTGAAAGGTGGATATTATCTCAAGTTAACATCAAGATGAGGAATAACCAAGATAAGACAAACAAGACTGAAAGATTCTCTTGGCCAAGGTCTCAGGGCCAAGATAGAACTCAAGCTCAAATCCGACTTCAAATTGCTTTCTCCAATATAATCTATAAAATACAAAATACCGCCTTTTAGAACTCATTTAATAAGAAATATAAGACCAATACATATCATGGCATAAGAATAAGCAACATAGCGACCAGCAGATGGCGTAATGGTAATATCATTGGACTCCCACATAGTTGACCATGGTTTGAGACCTGAACCTGGTCGCTGAAAAGTCACACCGGGTGCTTGTTCATGTGTGCCCAAAATTCCAAGAGAATAATGGAGAAGGGATGACCATCTTCCCCAGGGAAGGGGGGTGATTTCTCACTTTCTGCCTGTCTGTCTCTCTGTTTCTCTGGTAAGTACACATGCCCCATAGTAAAACAAGTCTTTAGCAAAAATCATAAAGAAGGTATAGAAAAGCTGTTGTGGCATTTGAGGAAGAAAAGTTGTTTGCTGTGAATCATGGAAAAATGGAAGAGAGCAAGAGGAGCCAAGCCAACCTGATCTCTAAATCCAAACCAGTGGGAGTCCAGAATAAAGCTATTCTGCAAGTATTTGTTGAATGAATATATGAGTGAGAATGAGACTATTAGTTCTAGTTTTTTCTCATTTCATTTTACTCCTATGTATCAATAGAAAATGTACTTATTATTTGTTCCAGATCATGTTATCTCAAGGGTAACATGCTAACAAAATGATATTTTCTAATAGGCTTGGCTCCTTACTGGTTGTAATAGTCACAACTGCTATATATAGAGAGCGTGATAACACTCTCATTATTTAAGTTTGGAGTTCACCGCTGCTGTTCATGCTGCCTCCTAACCAGCCTGATCTATTTCAGGGTGCCTCACTGAGTGGAATCCAGCCATACATTGATTGGGCAGAAGTCACTCTAAACCAGCAATGATTTCATAAGCTATCGCTTCTTGTATTGCACTCATTGTCAAGGAGAACAGAGAAGGTTCGCTTGACTGTCAAGATAGGAGCCCAGCTCCTCTGCCATGTGCTCTTCAAGGACTTCCTGAAGCCTCACTTGCGATGTGCCTAAAGCCAGGCTACGGCTAGAAACAATTATGAGAAGAGTCCCCATTTTTAAGGAAGACGCTAAAAAGTCCTCATATCTAGACCCATCTTCTTTTTGTAAACGGCATATTCACTATTACTAAATCCTTTGGGTTATAATGCGTTCATTATGGAAACAAAGTATGAAGCATTTCCTCTTGGTCGTAATGGTCGTGCCTCTATTGGAAAGTCTGGTTTTATTTAAATAGCAGCTTTCTTCTCTGATTGTATCAAATGTTTTACTTTTATCCTACATAGTTTGAGTATTTCTCATGAAACAGGCTTTACCTTTCCATACTCACTTGGTATTTCCAATTTGCACAAGTCTTTAAAATGACCAGAGCCAAATTTTACTTCTAAAGATTTGATGTGCAGTTCAAGCTTTGGATGTTTCCTTAGTAGTATTGCCATAAGCTCTAATTACTTGTAAAATATCATTTAATAATATGTATATGAACCATTCAAATAAATTGTATCCGTCATAAAAAAACACATGATTTTTTTCTTTTGGAGTCAATGTACTCTTTTTTTTGGGGGGGGGGGAGAGGGTTTTCTTT